TAACCTCATTACTGCTGGAGTCTCTTGGGTACTGTAGATGTAAAACCAGTGGTCCCAAACGGCCCTGGGTCAAACGTTTTCCGTATTTTTGAATATTTTCCCTTCAATTCCAAATACCAATTTTGACGGATTTCTGGTCCAGCTGCCCCACTGTAATAAAACGATAGATTTTTTGGCCAATTCGTTACTGCATGCCGTTCAAACAGGCACGAACGTAAGATCACCCAATATATGAATCCCTCTAGTGGTGAACATCGTGAAACACAAATGCCGTTATTTTAGGGTTAAATTGAATCCAACGCTAAGTAGGCCCAATAATCTAGATTTTCTTTTTAAATCCGTTACAACCCTGATCCCAAATAGTTTGGGGCCGACCCGGTATTTTTGTAAGCCAAAAATTTTTAAACGCGGATGGCTATTCCAGTCGGCAACCATATGGGACGAGCATGTTCGGGTCGAGGACTCGAATTGGCGACCCTCAAATTGCGGATCTAAACTAACCACCTAAAAAAATGACACTGATATGATCGCTAATTTTAAGACTAAATCTAACTGAATCCTATGCTACAGTTTTCGTCTTTATTCTGGGTAGAACCATCGGTCTACACTAATTCAACTCTTAATAATTCAGCGCCCTCTGTCTCATTACGAATGAAGTAATCGGAGACAGGCGGAATAGAACGACTCAAGTACTTGGGGTTAGTTAGGTTAATGAAGCCTTTTACGAGAACGGAAAATCGGACACTGATCTGATCGGTATGAACTGTTTTACTACCAGATTGTTGAGCTATTTTAATACGAAAGTTGTCTTGAGAATATATACATATAAATTAAATCAGTTGTATGTTTTTCAACTATGGGAATTATGTAACGAAATTTGTATGTAGGTATCAGATGAATTATGATAAAGCAAGCAGTACCTGTATTGCTCTGGACTCTTGTCGAGAAGTCGCCACTACTGTTGTTGATTTTTCTAAATTATCAATTCTCGCGTTTATGTTCTTGGATAATAAAAAACAAACATTCTCTCGAAAAAAAAGAGGGTTTAAAGCTTTAATGTCAATAACATATTGTACAGATTACAAAGGAAATAACACAAGGAAAAGAAATATTTTTTAAAAAACACAATTCATGTTATCTAATATTAAAATAAAAATAATTTGTAACGAGTAAAGTTTTACTACAGTTAAAGTATTTTAAAATCAGTCTACAAATACTCCATTAATATTTCTTAATCACTCATAACTAAAAAATCATAGCTTGAAGTTGACTTTTGTATGGAATAACAGAATTCTGTCACAATCTGCTTAATTTGTTCATCACTTCTCAAACCACAAGAACATCTCATTGACTCTGATCTGATTTAGCAATTATACAAAAACCATGCTAAATTATGTCTGAACGAAATAAACAAACCTTGAAGTTTATATAATCCCAGAAACAACTCTAGGATCCCCGTTTAATGTTGCTGACTGTGATCTGGTTTAGCAACAGTAAGAACTCATCATTACCAGACATTCCAAATGGCCACGTACACATAGTTAACAACTGAATGTAATAGCAGTTATTTGCAGCCAAAAGACCCAGATCCGATGTATTGCAGAGAAACATTATTACTGTTATATATATCACAGAAAACTAATACTAAAACATTTGTGACCTATTTATCCATTTACCTGTCAAGCTTTTCCTGGTGAATATAAACTTGCAATTACTCTTTCAATCACGTGTCTTAGGGTTTTCTTTCCACGTGACAAAGTGTTTAACAAAAGAACAACTGAGCAGACTTCAATGAAGTCTACTTCATTGATAACCTTTACACAGATGAATGGACAACGAGCCTGTTATACAGGGTGTAAAGTGATTCTTCATACTGGAG